ATTATATTTTCATAATGATAATAAATCTATCTCTAACAATAAATTCATACTAATCCCGTGCATAATAATTTATCTCTCATTTTATATTTGACACTATATTATTATTATTATTTTACCAGAGGGATGCTTTTTATAAGTATAGTTGTATATATCTATTTATTTTCTTTTATTTTTATTTTAGAGTAGCTTAGGTCAAGGCCTAAGAATAGTGAAATCCTAGCTAGGTGAGGCCAGCCAATACACAAAGGAGCAAAGCCCGACGAACTCAGGCTAAATAATCAAAGAGTAAAGCTCAACATACTAAGGCGGATATTATAAATATATTATAAATATATTGGGAACGTGATGGCTCAGGCAGATAACAAAAAGAACTGCAGAGAAAACATTACTGGAGGGGAATAAAAATGTGAATTAATAGACAAAGAGCTAGCTATTAATAACACAAACAAGGAAAGCAATTGCAATTGAGATTAAAAATATCAAGGAGCATTCGATTATAACTGTATAGATAAAAGAAAAATATTATTATAAATAAAATATTGAGATTTACTGTAAGAAGCAGATTTCAATCTCACAATATTAATATAGGATATGCAGGTTATGTATGTAAAATCATAATCTTTTGTTTTTGTGTAAAAGAGCGAATAAATTCAATTATTTTAATAATGGTGTTGATATAACATTAAAAAAAATTCAATATCAATAAAATAATAAAATATTTAATATTCAATTCATTAATCTGTTAATGACTCATAAAATTTCTTTACTTTTCATGATCCATTATTTTTTCTCTTGTGAAGTTTAAAACCTGCAATGATTCTATCGAGACAAAGTAACATATGCTTGCCCTATTTACAAAAAAAAACAACATAATAATTTATTTATTTATTTGTAATAATAGTTATACTATCATTATTGTGAATATATATATATATACCTTTCTCAAAAACTTCTTTTAATCAATTTTTACTCTTTCCAGCATTTGGCCTCAAGCAAGTATAAGATGAGTCTAATATTACATTAAATATATAATAAATACATGCATATATATATTAAAAAAAAAAAAGCTATACACATATAAATACAAAAATACCTACTTGTTGTGTTGTCTACTTGCTAATACAACATTACCAGTCTCCACTCAGCTTCAAAAACAACCAATTCTTTATTTTCAGTAAATCTAACTATTGGCAATGTTTCATTTTCCTTGTCAGACTCCACAATCTCATCGTCACCATTATAATATTTTTTTCAAGTAGCTTTTGAATAAAACCAATAATAATACCTCTACTCTCATTAGCTAAATCCTATATTGATGTTTTTAATAAGCATTACTTGTGCACCACATTTTAATTTCAATTTATTTGGCACCAAGCAATCTTTAATAAGCGTCTTTAATTGACCAATTTCTTCTGGTTCATAGTCTTTGGCATGATATATATGTGGTTTATTCTGAATTTTACTTAAAACACAAGATTTGCACTAGTAACCATCAGTTTTGAATATGTTGTAATTTAACAAGCAAACAAACAAACAAATATTATTATATAAGTATACTATATATATTAATACAGTCAAACCTTGTCATAACGGATTTCGATCTAGTACAAATTTAGAAGGTATCTGTAGAAATATCCAATCAAATACAATATTTCTGCATATACTTTCTAAATTTGTACTAGATCGAAATCCGTTATGACAAGGTTTGACTGTATCATGAATATTGTTCAACTTACAATTCTGTAACCTGAATTCCATCATTAGGATATTGTGATGGAGTTTTTAATCTATCCATGATTTCCAATGTTTTTTTGGTCACAATGCCCAATCTAATCTCATTTAACACACAATAAAATCTATAGAATTAGAATTAAAAATTAGATCAATTTATCAAATAGATGAATTAATAATAATAATAAATATCTATTTTTTGCCAAACTCCTAAAAATTGTTGATAATTCTATTATATGTTTTATACATTTACCCAATGAGTTCAATTCATAACAAAATTTAACATTACAGCCTTTAGAAACTGGTGATTATTAACTAATAAATAAAATATACAAATATATTTGTGTAAACATTAAAAAAAACACCTCCAAAAATCATTAATCATTAAATATCAATCAATATAACATATGTTATTATTATAACTTACTAATATTCCACCAATGGTCTATGATTATTGTGAATAGTTTGTGCAATTTCTTCCAGTTTATCAAATAAGTCCCCATCAAACGTTGAGACTATATCATAAATTATAAGATAATTAAATAATTAATAAATAATCAAATGATGATTATTATTATTTTCCATCAATCAGATAAAAAACCTATTATACCTTCATCAATAACAAATGCTTCAATAGATTGCCATCGGAAATGATGGATTTTTGATTTTTTAATTTTTTCAATAAGCTCCTTTGTTGATTCAGCGTTTAGTCCTATGACTGCAAAAGAGTGTAAAGTTGTGCCAGTGATATTAACTGCTGCTATGCTAGTTGTAAGCAGTTATGGAAATCTTTTCAACTCCATAAATGTTTTTAAGAGCTATGATTTTTAATAGTAGAAGACTTTTTCCAGTTCCTGCAGAACCAGTGAAAAGACATTCTCACGTTTATTGACCACGAGTCATAAACGAATTGTTGTTTTTCTGATAACTTCACATCTATTGATAGGTTATCATATTTAAATAAATTGATAAAGGATCTTGTTGTTGTTGTTGTTGTTGTTGTTGTTGTTGTTGTTGTTGTTGTTGTTGTTGTTGATCTTGATCTCGTTGTTGAGATGAACAATCTTTACTTTATCTTTTTTAACTTGACTGTCATATTGTAAGAAAAAGAACGTGAATAATGACAAGTATTATTATTAGTTAACTAGAGTGACGACGAGTGGTGATAACTACCACCATTCTTATGATAAACACTTACTCAGTAATCCCAGTAGCAAATTCTTGCTTTTTTTTTTGGGCGGTAAGATTTTTTTTTATCTTTTTTATCCTCATTATCTTCTTCGTCTTTAATCAAGAAAGCGGTAGCATCTTTTTTATCCTCATTATCCTCTTCATCTTTAATGAAGAAGCATTTTTAAAAATTGCTGAATCAATATAATTTTGTTTTTAGAAAAACAATTTATTTTTCAATGACAAAATGTGAGTGTTGTTGTTTAGTATGGTTTGGATCTGAAGACATGTTAATGACAAAGATACTTTTTTTTATTTGTATTGATTGATATATGTCTTTTTTACTTTTTTTTTATTTGTTACGAATATTTTAATTGGAATTCTGTTTATAAATTAATCATTTCCATAAATTCTCTAATTTTTATTTGACCAATTGAACTTGTTATTTAAATGGGGTAGGGTTGTTGGTGAGCAGGGTGTGCCACAAACAAGACAGCAACCCAAGACCCAGGGGAAAATCCAAAACAACAATCCAGTTTGCAACCTCCCGAGTTGGGAATTTTGAACCAGTCTTAGGTACTTAACTTTATTCTAGAGGGTATGACACAAATTACCATTGAACAAGTACCAGCTATCAGTGATCAATGCTCATATGATAACAGTCAAGCCTGGTCTGAGAGGAAGATATGGGAAAGTTTTATCCAAAGCCTTCCAACATGTCTAACCCTCCTTCACCTGTGGAAAAAAAATCCATGCTGCCGAATTGTGCTTAATTGCATCGCGATTGCATGTTTGTGATAGAAACTTTTAATTAAATCTGACACCTGTGATTAATATCAGATTTATTTATATTCATTTTAAGTATACATGGAAAGGAAAAATACTTTTTTGATCCTCCAGTCAACCTGGTCCAAGAAGGAATAGACTTATTTTTGTGAATCCTAAAGATCTGGCTATACACATTGTTAAAAGTTTTATTTATACACAGCTTTGATATTACTACTATTTGAGCGATATAATTGTTTGTTATGTCAATTATAACATTAAATATATTGAATAATAATCATGACCATCATGAAGATTTGATGGATGGAGACATTCACATACAAGGAAATGGTTAAACAGCTAAGTCATGTTTGTTTTTATTAAAGATATATAATTAATTATATAATAAAAAATTGCAAGACTGCATCACTATGTCAATCAAGATATCAAGTTGTTATGTTTGTGCATTATTTAAAATTCTTTTGTGCTAATTTAGGGTCCCATCTTTCTTTGCTTATATAATAATCTATTGGTTCTCTTTTTACTGGTTGAATGATGCCAAATTGGGTAATGAGGTATCAGTAAATATCAGAATCTGATATCTGACTGATATTCTTAAAAAAATAATCAAGGTATTGGCATATTGATAAGTTAATAAGATTCTTAGTATTTTTATCATATTGTCTAAAAGCCTATTAGTAAATGTTGAAAGTGCCGATATTTATCAGATATTCTTCTAAAATTAATCCTATTTTTTAGTTAATTATTGGCTTAATTTAATAAACCAATAGCTCTTTTATATTGTAATTAAGTTATTGGTTAAACATTTCTAAAGCTCTTTGTACTAAAATAATATCATAATCTTTAACAGTAGTTAGGGTCTATTCGAATAAAAAAATAAAACGAACGAACAAAACGAACAGAACGAACAAAACGAACAAAACGAACAAAAACGAACAAAAACGAACAAAACAAATAAAGCGAAATTTGTAATACGAATAGAAACCATGCATTAATATTAAAATCAAAAAACAACAATAAATTAGGGCTTCTGTTCGAATAAGGTTTATTAGAATTATTCATTTTATTCGTTATGAATTTAAGTATTCAATTACATTGAAAGTTTATTCGAATAAAACTAATAAATTTTTTAATATTAATATTGATATTAATTCATAAAATTAATGGTTCGAATAAATTTTTTAATTCATTCAAATAAAATGAATAATAATAATAATAATAATAAAGTCCTTGAAATAGTGATAATAATAAATAATAGTAGCTGATATTTTCCTTAAGCCATAGTACTAGCAATTATTGTTTATATTATTTTGTTAGACCTATATTTTATAAAATGAATAAACTAGTAATTTGAATAAAATGAATAAAAAAACGTATAAATTTTTATATGAATATAACGGATAATTTTAATTCGAATAAAACTAATAATTCGAATAAATTTTTTAATTCGAAACCCTACAATAAATAAACAAATAACTTTTATTGCGAAACAATTAATTTTGTTCCTTTGATGATGTTAATGATTGAATCAATCACACAAGTAGTATATAGTCAATTTAAGCAGCATTGTTTTTAAAGAAATTATTCAAAATGATATTATTAAATGTATAAAGTTTAATGATTTTTAATGTTGCAAATTTTTTTGATACATCAACCTAAGTCTAAAACAAAACAGGATAAATTTATTATTTATCAAAAAAGAAATAAAAAAACTTTAAAGTATATAAATTATAGTAGATTCAAATAGATCAAATGGTACACTACAGCAAATTTCGGAGAATCAATTACGTGAAACCACACCAAAAAGTCTTCAAATTTTTTTGATGTAAATTATTTATCAACAAATATTTCCTTAACACTCAAGATAAAAAACTTTTGGATGAGTTTGCCAACCAACAATTGGTAAAATTATAAATTTATATAAGTATTAGTAACTAACTATTGACTACAAGTTTTATTGTATGTTAAATATGTTAAATAATAAAATCTTGCATATTAATATTAATTATGCAAATAATCAAAAAAATATCAATCATTGATATTATTAATTATCATTACCATCATCATCACTCTCATCATTCTCATTATTCTTATTATGATTTTTTTTTAATTTTTTCACAATTTTCTCCAATCCATCAAGTTTTTCTCCCAACTCCTCGATTCTTTCCTCCAGTCTATCGTAACTTCTTTTCAACGATGAATAATTGTATTGTATTATTAAATTATTTGATGCTAATTCATTGTCGTGCTTTCTTAGATTTTTAATATCCTTTGAAAGCTTTTTTATAATTTTATTATTATTCCCAACATCATCATCGTCACCATCATTGTCAGTTATTGTTGATATGTTTGATGTCATTGATAATGTGTTTGGTTCAATAATTTGCGGAAATAATAAGTATGGAGTGGATTGAATGTATTTGCCAGAAATTTTAGATTTATTTGATGGTTTTGAAGAAGTAGGGGAAGTTTTTGTTTCTAATGATGGAGATTTAGGTTTTATTAAGGGTCTGTGATTTTTTGTTATTTTAAAGGGTATTCTAGAAGATGTTATCATGGGTATTTTAGAATAAACTGAAGATGATGATTTCGAGGATTCAGAAGAAGAAGAGGATATTCTAGATGAGTGAATTGGTATTTTGGATGACAATGTTGTTGTTTTAAATGATGTTATTGCAGATTGTGTTAATTCTGACGGAACTTCTAAATTTCTTTGATTAGAAGTTGTTGTTGTTGATGTTGATGTTATTATTGGTGCAGGAGCAAGTGTAGATTCCGAAACTATTGTTGAATTTGATTCAATTGTTGATGCTGACAAATCCGACATGTTGTTATTTAAAGCTTCTATTGGAGTTGGAGTAGGTATAGGTGTAGCGGTGGTAGATGTAAGAGCGACGAATGTAGGTGTGGGCGCAGAATATGAATCGACGTCATCAATCTGTGTAATTTGTTTGTCATCTGTGATTGTTGTAATATTATTGTTGTCTGGGTTGTTGCTGTTGTTATCATTGTCGAAGTTTAAATTGTTGTTTGTAAAGATGATGATGTTACTACCAGTTGTTGATTCAATATCAACGTCAGCGCTAACATTATCAATATCAATATCATTATTATTTTCAGTCGGCGGATCAACCCAACGAAAATAGCCGCAATCATTTCGATTTAAATGTGAATATGTGCCATTATAATTGAGGCAACATGCAAACCGTCTACCAACATTAGGATGCTTCCTGGACAAATATATTTTCGCTGGCATTTCATGCCGACAAATATATCTAATGTTTGGATGTGGTGAATATAAACCCGTTCTTGTTGTTCCTGTTGTCATTGATGGTGCTGTTGTTGGGGGTGAAGAAGATGATGATGATGGTGGTGGTGGGGCTTCGTTGTTTATCGGTTGTTGACTATTTGACAATTTTTTTTTTTAAAGAAAATAAATTTGTTGAAAAAATCTAGTGAATTGTTAAAAATTAGAATTAAATTATCAATTGTGAATTGTTTTAAAATTTATTATTTTTATTATTGCCGATTTTCCCGTTTATGGAATGATCGTTAAATGTCACGTGACAAATCGAATTTTTGATTGGAAATTTTTTTTCAAAACTGCACTATACTCCCAATAAAAAAAATGAATGAAGGTATTTTTTTCTTGTACAGAAAATAACTATTTTAAAAATATGTAGTGATAGTAATAGTAAAAGGATTTTTACATCATAATTTAATATTTTGCTTATAATATTTAGCTAAATTCTATAAAGGTAAATTAACTTTTTACAACACAGAAAAACTTTATCTTCAACATCATCTAATTAAATATTTTTATTTTTATTTCTTTGTAATAACCAGGGAGTAAGCATTAAGTATTATAAATTAACCTTTACAACACAAAATAAACTTTATCTTCAACATCATCTAATTAAATAATTTTATTTTTTATTTTTTTATAATAACCAGCTGGTAAGTATTATATTATAAATTAACTTTTACAACACAAAATAAACTTTATCTTCAACATCATCTAATTAAATAATTTTATTTTTTATTTCTTTATAATAACCAGTTGGTAAGTATTATATTATAAATTAACTTTTACAACACAAAATAAACTTTATTAAAACATCATCTAATTAAATATTTTTATTTTTATTTATAGATTGTAAGTATTATATTATAAATTAATTTAACAACACAAAATAATTTTCATTAAAAGGACAACTAAATAAATTTATTTCTTATTTACAATAACCAGCTGGTAGGTATTGTATTGTATTATAAATTAACTTTTACAATTTTTATATCAGATTAATAAGTTTATTTTTCTTTATTTATAATAACCAGTTGGTAAGTAGTATTTTATGAATTTAAACAAAATAATTTATTAAAATATCATCTAATTAATTAATAAATCTTTATAACAATCAATAGGAAGTAAGTATTTATATAATTAAATTTTATAATTTTTATTAAAACACAAACTAATTAATAAATTTATTTTCTTGTAATAACCAGCATGTAAGTAACTTTTACAACACAAAATAAGTTTTTATAACATCTAATTAAATGTTTTTTGTTTCTTCATAATAACCAGCTGGTAAATATTATATTATATTATAAAATAACTTTCTCAGCACAAAGTAATTTTAATCATAATTTTGTCTAATTAAATAAAATTATTTTGTGTTTTATAATGACTAACAATTGAAGGTAAAATAATTTATAAATTTAATTCTTTAATAACTTTTAAATGAATATCTATTTTTATTATGTTGAAAAATAATTCTATTTTAATTGAATTTTTTTACAAAAAATTAATTATTTGAAATAATAAGATAATACTAAGGGGTTTAAAGAAAGAAAGAAAAAAAGAACATGGAATCTGTTCTGCTTGTGGAAGATATAATACTAATTACCAGTGGTGTCAATCATGTGATCCCAAATTGTTAGCTCAAAGTTGGACTAGCAGTGGTAATGAAAAATTAGATAATCTAATCAGATATACACAGCTTAAAGCAAAAGGATTTGATAGTTATTATTACCTTGAATGGGTTCCTTATGACCAACTCACAGTTAAAGAAGAATTAGGTAAAGGTGGTTTTGCAACTGTGCATAAGTGTTATTGGTCAAATGGTCCTAGGTATGTTTATGATAATGAAAGATATTATTGTATCAATAGTCTTGTAGCATTAAAAAAGGTTAAAAATTCACAAAATACTCCTGATGAGTTTTTAAAGGAGGTAAATAATTTGATATAATTAATTGACAATTAATGATTTTTAAACAGTATATTAAATTTTATTAATTTTCATAAAGCTTCGAAATCACATTAAATTTATAGGACCTTATCATAAAGGTATTGTTAATATTTATGGCATTTCACAAGATCCAAATACAAAAGAATATGTTCTCATAATGAGATATGCAGCTGGAGGAGACTTTAAGAAATATTTAAAATCAAATTATACAAGATGGAATGATAAAATTAAAAGACTTTATGATATTGTTTCAAGTTTAAACACATTTCATCAAGAAAAACTTACACATGGTGATCTTCACAGTGGTAATATTTTATATTTTGATTATTTACACCAGGCAATGATTCAGATTTAGGGTTATCAAGCCCAACTAATCAAAAAATATCAAGTAAAAGTGGTATATTTGGAGTACTGCCATATATTGCACCAGAGGTATTAAATAAGAAACCTTATACACAAAAATCTGACATCTATAGCTTTGGGATTTTAATGTCAGAAACATCAACACATCAACAGCCATTCAAAGATCAACCACATGATATAAATCTTGCTTTCAAGATCTGTGGTGGATTAAGGCCTAGTTTTTCAGATAATACTCCAGAATGTTATATTAAGTTAACATGCAAATGCATGGATGCTGGATCCTAAAAAAAGACCAACAGCAGATGAAATTTTAAAAATTATTACTTTTTGGAAGGATGCAATTGAATCTAATATTTCTAGTTATTCTGAAGAACAGCTTGATGAATTAGAAAAATTGAGAAAAATATTTAAGGATGCAGATAAAAACCCATTTAACCCTTCAACAATTTCAGCAATTGTTCATCCAAGTGCTATTTATACAAGTAGATTATTAAATTTTACAAATCTTCCTCAACTTGTAAATTCCAACAAAGTTACAATTATTAGTAACAATAATGGTGATTATCCAATTTATTGTTATATATTTAACCTTAATGATCTATTAATGATATTTTAAATTATATATTTAAATTATAGAATCTAAACAAATTGAATTAAGTATGCCAGATTCTAAACAAATTGAATTAACTATACCAGAATAAATCATTGGAATTTTCACTTAGTCTCTTGGGGGTGTTGCATGGTGAACAAACACCTTTTATTAATGTTAAAAAATTTTTCAATGATCAATCAAAACTTTATATTTTGTCTATGTATTACTTTTATATATTGTTTAATATTTTATTTCAATTTGTATTTTTATCACCTGTGGTTGGTTTGGTCTAAAGACCTCCTATTGATGTGTCATATGTTCAGATTTCAAAAAATGTGATTTTGTGATTCACTCAAAAATGCAATAAAATTTTTCAAAAAGGGTTTCAGGTGATTTCGGTTAAAAATTTATTTTATTTACTGCCAAATTTAGATATGATTATCAAGTATTAGACTAAATTTAGCAATGAACCCAGCGCTCATATTCCTCATGAGCAAACAGAAGGCCGTTCTGGTAACACGAAATTTAACCCCTGCAATTGTTGATTGACCAATCAAAAATCGTGAATTTGATAATGTAAAAATAAATGTTGGTTTAATTCATTTTGTCAACAATCATTTCAACAACAATTGTTAGATTGACAAATGGTTCGAATTTAAGAAGTTGGAAGCAACCATGAAACAAACCTTTGAAATAGTCTAATAAATTAAATTGTACTACTCAAAAATGTATTTAAAGGGTTAGTTTTTGACTTGTTTGAAGAATAACTCTCTTCTCAACTCTTCTCTTAACCATACCTTTCAATATAATAAAAATAGCCTTAATATAATGAATGTTGATGAAATGATTATAAGCACAACCAATTTAAGATATATGATTAAGACAAGGTATGGATGATGTATGAAAAAATCAAACAAATTTATTTAATAAAAAAAAAAATTTACAACCCAAAAAATGGTTTTTTTGTATGTTCTAATAAAATTTCCATTGTTGCTGCATCATCTGTTGCTGGCTCAAAATTACCCAGATCATCATCAACTGTATTTTTGTTATTTTGATAAATTCATTTTTTTTTAATCTTTTTGTTGTACTTTCTTTTATTTCAACTTGAAATTAGTCAGTCCAAGATATCAAACATTTAGATTTGCACCTTTGTAGACAATGATTGTGATAACCATATCCACACATAAGTACACTACAATTATTCAAATTAGCATAGTTAGTGAAATCACAATTAAGGTTGCCTGCTGAAACCTCTTAGTGACTGTCAAAACTCTGTTGAAACTTTAATAAACTATTAGTATATACCTTGTCAAACCTCTGACAATTGACAAAACTCTGGCAATTGACAAACCCCTAAATGTGAAACTCTGCCAAAACTCTAATAAATAATTAATGTGTAACCTGTCAAAACTCTGTCAATTGATTTCTGGGGGAGCTTCGCCCACAACCTTAATCACAATATATGTAATTGCAAAAAATGTTTGTAGGTGGTTTCCTAGAAGTAACAAAGTTTTAGTAATCAAAGGATACTGATTTCGTGCTTGATATGGTGGTAGTATCAGATTGTCTCTGGATATGAGTCTATGATAATCATCAACATTCAACATGAATGCACTTTTTGAATGTTTTGTAAGTGTATTATATACATATTTCTCATGTTCATCTGCAACTTGCTTCTTTTTATGATCTACTGCTCTTGATGTTATGGTTGCTCCAAGACTTGTACCTACTGAATCTAAATAGAATGCAAGGTCAAACTTAAAAGAGTTAATTTTTGTATTATTTAATGAAGCAAGAAGATAACATTACACTGCCCTCCAAAAAGTATTTGGATGATGTTTTTTGATAATTACACAAGATGCCACATAACGAATGTACATAAAATTTATACCATATATGGCTTAGGTTTTGGCGACTCTACATATAAATTTTCATTTTACTATCTTTCTTTTACGATTTTTAGTTAAAAAAACAAAACACCAAATAAATCGCGAGGATTATCTTTGTGAATTTTTAATAATTTTATGTTTCTCAAAATTTTATATT